TGGCTCGATTATTTAATTTTAAATCAGAAAAAATAAATTTATTAGAATTTTGCTTCCAACAATGAGTTAAAATTTGTTCTCAATAAGATAACCAAGAAGATAAAGTAAATTCAATTTTGAATTTCTTATAAAAAAATCATGATGTATAACATACAAATCAATACTAGTTTATAATTTTATGCAATTTCAATGACAATTTTGGTGTAGTTACTCACAACAATAAACTTTTCATAAAGTTGAAACTAATCAGGCTAGAAATGCAAAATATATGAAAACATAAATTTGTGTCTATCATTAGATCATTACAAAAAAGTAATTGAAATTATACAACCCATTAAGAGTTCCATTATAAAGCCAAAAGAAGAACTCAACAAAAGTTAAAATTATTCATTGTCTTCATCTTTGTAGTACTTCATACTCTTCCAATTCTTCCATCTTGAGTTTTGTTTACTCTGTGTTGAATAAAAATAATAATAAATAAAGAAAAAAAGAGAATTTTGAAACAGATATGAAACAACGGCTCCGTTGCTTCACAAAGAGCAGAGATTTCACTCGTCACTTCTTAGGCTCCTTCGTTGTTGTTTGTGTTCGCTACCTCGCAGAAGGTGCAAAAATTGCACCGTCACTTCTTCATTATATTATATATTATATATAATATAATATGATAATATAATATTATATATTATATAATCATATTACAAATAATATAATATAAAATATATTATAAAAGAAAAGGGAACGAATTGAAAAAAAAAATAGAAATTCAAACAGGCGTCGAAGACCACGGCCGTCATACCTTAGGTCCGACCAGGATGATTTTGAATCTGAAGACCTCGTGCCGTTGACTTTAAGTCCAGCCGAGATGGTTTTAAATTTTGAAGACCCGCGCCATCGATCTTAGATCTGGGCGGATGGTTTTGCAATTCGAAGATCCCACGCAGTCGATCTTAGATTCTGGTGGGATGGTTTAAATTCGAAGACCCTACGCCGTCATCCTTAGGTCCGGATAGGAAGAAATTACGGCAGTGCCATCCCGATTTATCCCTTGGTGGGGAGGACGCCGGGAGGATGCCGAAATTTCCTCAAATTTTTGAGGGAAATTCAATTTGAATTTTTGATTTAATTGAAATGTTAAAATTAACATTTAAATATTAATAAACTGATTTAATTAATTATGATTTAATAAAATTTGGTTGATTAAGATCAATCAAAATAATTGACAAATTGAGATCTTTGAGATCTCCTACATCATCAAATGCGCGGGAGCGGAGAACCTACAAGCACTCATTCTCTTCCCGCCCCTCTAATCCAAATTTTTTTTAGAGCCTTTGAAATTCAAAATTTTCAAAGTTCGAGGGCATTAAATGATTTTTTTATATATATACGAGAAATTTAAACTTTTGAGAATTTTAAAATATGAGAATTTTAAAGATCGAAATTAATACAATTAACTAGAAAATTTTTATTTTTAGTTAGTTGATTAATTAAATTTATTTTGAAAAAAAAATGCAGGAAAAGAAATATTGTTTGCATTAATTAACATTTACAAATTGCGCTCAAACTAAACTCTTGCAAATTCTCCAAAGTCCCTCCTATACGAGCTCCTGCAGCTATCTCTGTGTTCTATCATCTGCAACTGCAAGCCCTGATTGCTTTCAATTACTGTCTACAAACACCTATAAACAAACAAATGAAAAGTCAGCATATCATAAGTAAATTGAATGAATGCTGATAAATTCAAGCTACTGCAGGTAAAACAGAGTACTAGAAAGCAAGAAAAGCTAAGTATGAAAAAAGCTAGTAGTGTAACAGTGTTGAAAAGACGGGTAAAAAAAAAGTGAACTACTATAGTAGGAAAAAGACTACTAGCATAAAACAACTAAAGCACAAACTAAATGTCAAACAACCAGTGTCAAATCAACAAACACACATTCAAATCCAAACAAATTAATGGGCAGCCTTATTTATAAGAACTTGGTTGTAAGACCCGCTACCCGGCAACTTTCGTAGGAAAGTCGTAAGCCCGACCTTAGGGAGAAGTTTTAGGTAAAAATTTACATGACTCCTAACCTCCAATTAAAACTATCCGCCACTTTTAATAGAAGTCGTAAGCTTAGCTTTGAGGGAAATATTTAGGTGATAATGCAATCCTAGACCCCTTTTCGGGCATCCTAGTCTAAAAGGACTAGGTTGTAAGACCCACAACTCGAGCCGCTTAGCTTACAGGGCTAGGTCGTCAGACCCACCGTTAGGCAACTTCTAAGAAAGCCATAAGACCTATCCAACTAAAATTCTTCTGGCAACTCCTAATTGGAGCCGTAAGCCCCAAACTAAACAAAATATCCGGATAACTCCTAATTAGAGCCGTAAGCCTCAAACTAAACAAATTATCCGGGCAATTCCTAATTAGAGCCGTAAGCCCCAAACTAAACAAACTATGCGGGCAACTCCTAACTGGAGCCGTAAGCCCCAAACTAAAGAAATTATCGGGCAACTTCTAATTGAAGTCATAAGCCCCAACGTTTTAGGAAAATTACTAAATAAATTGTAATGAACCTAAAACCCAAATAATTTAATTCAAACCTATGGGAATCTTAGTCTAAAAGGACTAGGTTGTAAGACCCACAACTCGAGCCGCTTAGCTTACAGGGCTAGGTCGTAAGACCCACCGTTAGGCAACTTCTAAGGAAGCCATAAGACCTATCCAACCGAAATTCTTCGGGTAACTCCTAATTGGAGCCGTAAGCCCCAAACTAAACAAATGAACGAGTAACTTCTAATTAGAGTCGTAAGCCCTAAACTAAACAAATTATCCAGGCAACTCCTAATTGGAGCCGTAAGCCCCAAACTAAACAAACTATCTGGGCAACTTCTAATTGGAGCCGTAAGCCCCAAACTAAACAAATTATCGGGCAACTTCTAATTGAAGTTGTAAGCCCCAACGTTTTAGGAAAATTACTAAATAAATTGTAATGACCTTAAAACCCCAATAATTTAATTCAAACCTATGGGAATCTTAGTCTAAAGGATTAAGTTGTAAGACCCACTTTTCAGGCTACTTCCTCAGGGAAGCCATAAGTCCTACCCAAATAATTTAAAACCTTCGGGCAGCCTCACTATAGAGTTAGGTTGTAAGACCCATCCTTGGGCAACTCATAAATAGAGTAATAAGCCCCAATTCTAAATTAAATCCTCGGGCTACTTTCTACGAAAGTCATAAGTCCTAATCCAAATCTAAATCCCTGGGCTACTTCCCGAGGAAGCCATAAGACCCGGTCCAAACCAACTTTCTGGGTATTCTAGTAGATGTAAACCCCAAACCCCAAACCCCAAATAAAAAAAATTAAATTTAAACTAAAATCAACATCTAACTTCTTCAGTCTACTCGGGATTCCTTAGAGGAGGCAACCCATGGTTGCTTATCAGATTGTCTGGACGCTACGGTCAATGATTGTTAGTGTTGGTAGACTGAAATCTACGGTATACCCGGGACGACGGAACCATGGGATCTTGATCGGGTTTACCTCCATCTTCCCACTATTGAGACTAAAAAAATATATAAAATTTATTCATCCTTAATCGAGAGTTCTCTCTTATGTAGTAAGTGGGGTAATTAACTATAGGTGTTTGGGCTCATAGGAAGTAAGATCCCCAGATCTATAAACCCTGATACTACCCTCAGGGG